GATTTTCTGTCAAGAGGAAATAAAAGCATAACTCAGTGGTGTCTTCACAGTTTCTGCCTGCCAGTTTTACTTTTCTATAAATACAGTCCTCATTTTGAAGGAATGTGGATAAGATCGCTGCAGTTGACTATTTTGGGGAGGCACTGCCTGTTCTATTTCAGAGGGGATGTTATCTGTCTTCATCCCTGGGGCAGGTGTAGAGATGCACTGTGGACACCACTGCAGATTCACATAAGAAGCTGAATGTGTCAGGCTCACAGCTTCACAGGCCCTAGGCAGGGCTGCGGAGGGTGGACTGAAAGGCACTCAGGGATCGTCTTCCTGAGGACCCATTATTTAATGTTCTATCCATTTCTGTTTTCCTTCTGCCATCCTGTGATGCAGGGCTGCTGCTGAGAACAAATCCTCGTCTTAATAGGACTTTTACCACCATCTGGAGCTCAGCCCCTGGGTCTTAATGCTCAGGGCTTTTTAAGGATGGCAGCCTTCAGCTTAGAATAGGAAGGATGTAAGAGAAGCACCTGAAGGGGAGGTCTGTGTTCAAAACATTTATGTAATAGTGATGTCAAAATTGAGGGAAACGTTGAAATCATAATTTTCCAGTGTAGTTTTCTTATTGCTATACAACTTGTAAATACAATTTCTGGGTGTCCCTTTGTATAAGATATACTATCTACTATCAAATATTGTAATTTATTCCTTGTATTAGGGTACACCTAGAAATTTAATTACGAAGAAACACATAAACCCCTGTAATGAGTTACAGTTAAACCACAGTATACCTAATCACGGCAAATTATAAACGTAACTTGGTCTGTAAACAATAATAAGCTAAGTAAACATTGTACTTTGTGTGTTCAAAGAAGGATATAATTTTAAATACAATAGAAATAGATGGACTTATTCTTTGTATTTAAAATTGTGAACCTTATTGTACATATGAAAGGATATTATATACACTGAGAAAGATTTTCTCATTAACCAAGCTCTACTCAGCCTCCCTTGAACTTGTTTTCTTTTTTTTTTTTTTTTTTTTTTTGATACAGAGTCTCGCTCTGTCTCTCAGGCTGGAGTGCAATGGCACAATCTCGGCTCACCGTAACCTCCACCTTCCGATTCTTGTGCTTCAGCCTCCACCTTCCGATTCTTGTGCTTCAGCCTCCAGAGTAGCTAGGATTACAGACACCTGCCACCATGCCTGGCTAAGTTTTATATTTTAGTAGAGATGGGGTTTCACCATGTTGGCCAGGCTAGTCTGGAACTCCTGACCTCAGGCGATCCACCCACCTCAGTCTCCCAAAGTACTGGGATTAGAGGCGTGAGCCACTGTACCTGGCCTCCTTTTTCTTTAAAGTTAAGACACAATAGTTATATACGTTTTGGGGGTACATGTGATATTTTGATGCATGTATACAATGTGTAGGGATCAAATTGGGGTAACTGGGAATATCCATCATCTCAGTTATCTTTTCTTTGTTGGAACATTCCAATTCTTCTCGTGTAGCTATTTGAAATGTATAATAAATTGTTGACTATAGTCTATTCTACTATCATACATAATTTATTCCTTCCATCTAACGGTAGTTTTGTACTCATTAACCAAATTCTCTTCATTCTCCCTTCCCCCACCCTGAACTCCTTTTCAACTGAGCCTGACTTTGGCCTTTGATGTTCTTTCTGTTGTTCAATTTTAGCCAGGATCATAGTATTTCAGTTTAACCAGAATCCCATCTTCAATATTGGATCATTCTTATTATCTAATCATTAGGTTCCTCAGTCTTCACCATCTCCCAGGTGATATCTGATCACCCTGTCCTCTCTTTAGCAAGAATCTTGTTACATTAGCTTAGTGAGAATCCCCCTTACTCCTGATGTTTCCTTTCAGTAATTTTCCATGCAGGGACCCTCATTCTGCTCTTCGGTTGTAAATTTCTACTTGCCCATGCTGTATCAGAGTTGAGTCCTAACCATTTCTCCCACTGCAAGACCCTATTCCAGTGGTCCCCATACTTCTCAGTGGTCTTGAATAAAGACTGCCTTATCTGCAACAAGTGTCAATGAATAACTTTTTAAAAACACATACATACAAGACAAATATGTGTATACTAACTAAAATTGGCCTACCAACGAACATTCCCTCAATCAATTCTCATGTATATTTATTTAGATGTGACTCTTACACACACATGGTAAAGTTTGCTTTCTGTATGTGTAAGATAGGGTATCAACTGGTCATCCAAGCTGGAGTACAGTTGCATGATCACAGCTCACTGCAGCCTTGAATTCCTGGGTGCTAATTTTATGTTTTATGGAGACAAGGTCTCACTATGTTACCCAGGCTGGTCTTTAACTCCTGGGCTCAGGGATCCTCTCACCTGGGGCTGCCCAAAATGTTGAAATTGCAGGAATGAGCTACTGTGCCTGGCCAACTTTTTAAATACTAGTATATCTTCATTTATATCATGTACCCATCCATCTATCGTGATATAAAGATATTATGTAGTGTGCTCTCTACTTTCTCTAACTCAGGAGCAGAATGTCTCTGAGAAAACAAAACAAACTGCATACAAATATTACATTCAACTGCCAAGTTAATCAGTCTGACCATGGAGATCATAAAAACTTGCTATGATCATTAATGGTAAGAATGATTTAAGGTTAGTAACTCTGCTTGTCACATGTTTTTATTCTTTCTTACAACAAAATTTTTGAAGATGTTTAATAATTCATGAGTCATCTGATGCCATTGTATTTACATCTATCAGGTGGTATGTTTTCCAATGTCTCAAAGAAGTTGGCATAATGGATTGTATGAGAAGCCTTGGGGCCTTGCCTTGTAGCCTTGTCCAATGTGCTAAACAAAGCACTTGACTTGTCAGGAGGAAAGGCATCTACCACTCCATCGTTCAGGGATTCATGCTGACAAACGGCAGTTACCAAAATGTGTGTATTATTACAAACCATTTTACTTAGCAAAGTCAGGAAGAGATATAAAACACTCCCATTTTCTTTCTTGGTGCTGGTGTCTTACATTTTCTTTGTCTAAAGAATATATTTCATTTAGATTTCTTCTCTCTGAGACAATGATCTAAGTGCCCTTTTCTGTCTCACTCCTTGGAGGATACCCATTTGGAGTTTTGCTCACTTGCAAATCACTGTTGTTTTTAGGGATGCAAAAATGACCTACAGGTTTTGCAACACCTTAAAAAACCTGTACAATAACTGAGAGAGTGAAGAACACAGTCATAGTGGCAGGGTTTATAATGGGTAATGATTTAGAAATTTATGAAATTCAGAGGTTCATTCTTATCTCAGGAATTAACAAATATAACAACAGGATGGCGGGGCTTCCATCTAAGAAACAGTCAGGAAACATGAGCTAGTCAGAAAACATGTCTATCGTGAGAATTAAGATTCCAAAATTCTCTGCAACTTTTCTATGTTATTCTCTTTCTTTCCCAAAAGTGATTAGCATTAAGATTCTCGGATCTGTGGATTGACATTCAGGTACAAGAAGTACGTCTCCTATTTCAAGGTTAGTTTGGGGGCGAGGCAAAGAGGAAAGAAACCCAAGAAATGGAAGAGGTGATGATTCTGAGCATGAGAGCAGGCAGGTTGAATTTTTGAGGCTGTAGAGGGAAGAAGGAAATGAAAGCCTTGGGGTAGCTCTGGCAATGACTGGGCATGTGATTAGAAAAATCAAAACAAAGTGCCACGGACTTAGCTGTGTCCTTCCCAAATTCACATGTTGAAATCCTCACTCCTTGTGTGCTGATAATTGGAGAAAGGGGACTTTGGGAGGTGATTAGGATTAGATGAGGTCATGCAGGTAGGACACTCATGATGGAATCAGCGTCTTTATAAGGAGAGACTCTCGACAGCTTGCCCACCCTCGCTCACGCATGTGCTGTCTCTATGCACACAAAAAAGGAAGAGGGGATGTGAGTGTACGGCAAGATGGCTGCCACGTAGGAGCCAAGGGAAGAGGCCTCAGAAGGAGAAACCTACCTTGCTAGCAACTTGACCTTGGACTTCCAACCTCCAGAACTGTGAGAAATGCATTTCTGTTGTTTAAGCCTCCGAGTCTATAGTATTTTGTTATGGCAGTCCAAATAGACCAAAACCAACGATAATCTGTATAGCTCTTCCACCATCCAATCGCAAACCCAACAGCATGAAGTCCAAACTCTGTGTCTTTGCCTGTCGCATATTTCCCTCTGCATACACTTATTTAAAAAACATCCACCTAAGATGCCACACAAACGCTCCACAAATGTTAACTCATGTAAGATATTATTCTTACTTCTATTTTGTAGTTAGGAAACGGAGGCATAGCATTAATAAACTAAACGAGCAAGATCGTGTAATCAGCAAGTGTCAAATTTGAGATTCAAACCAAGGAAGTCTGGCTCCAGGATCTGTGCTCTTAACCCTTCAGCTGTGCTGACTTCCCCCACATTTATTTACTGCCCATTGAGCCACAAACTGTACAGTTATCTTTGCTGCTACAATGACTCATTTGTATTCTTTGTTTTCATGCTATGTCCAAGAATCACTTATTCAAGGTTTTTCCTCCATGAAATAACCTATTCTTATCTGCCAATAACCACAGAACTTGTTTTCCACTGTGTGTTCACTTTTACTGGAATAATGAAAGCAACAATGAATATAATAAATGGATCTTCAATACCAGAATGAAAGCATTCAATTATAGAAAAGGTAAAGTTCTAAACTCAGATTATTCCTAGATCAAATAAAAAGAATGGTTCTTTAACCAAAAACAAAACAAAAAAAACTCATGAGACAGGAGAAAACACAGAATATAAATGTCATTCTTGATCATATTGAAGAATTTTTAAAGACAAGGGCAATTTCAAGCCTTGATATTATTTTTCTCTTTGATTCAAACAGCTTACTGCAATTAAATTCTAATAATTAAAATAATAGAGTTGAAGCCAACTAACACCCAATGAGAAATGGAAAAAAACAAATCATCTTACCTGCTGATGTGTGTTTGAACTTTTCACTTTTCTTCTTCCTCCATTTCCAAGGCTTGAAAATCCTTCCCAGATTGGCAAACTTACTTCTCCTGCGGATGGGTGGGGTGTGGGTGCCTGGGACCAGGGAGTCAGAACGCATCGCCGCCAGCCTCTCCACTTCCTCAGCTTGTTATTTCCAAGAAAGAGATGAAAATAAAGAGGAAAAAAGTGTTAAAATACGAGCCTCACAGATGGCCAACGTTTTCCATGGTTACAGATAACAGAAACCACATGACTAGAGTTTCTCTTTGCCTTTTGGAATGGAAGTTATGCCAGCGTGTTCTGAAGGCTGAGGGCAGTTGGCCAACACATAGAGATTCCAACCACCCCAACCAAATTTGCTCAGCTTCTACTTAGGCTGGAGGAGAAAAGTAAAGAGGAGGAGAGCTCTCTGGACAAGTCAGGGACTCCCGCCCAAAACAGGGAGAGGCTACCAGAAGACTCAAATGAGAGTCAGTGTAACTACGGGTCCGGCAATTTCCCAAATAAGACTTGGCAGATGCAATCACTACAGCATGTCTGCTGAGAAAAAAGAAGGGGGAAAACATTTATCAACTGTCTATTCCAAAGCCAATGTCTCCACCACCCACTGCCCTCTACTTCCCACTACCTGGCTTTATTACCTAGACCTTCAGCAGCACTGTAATCTGTTAAGTAAGTGACTCTACCTTAGGATTACTGATCTGTTTTAGACTCACTCACAGTTCCATTAGATTTTACAATTGTCTTAATTTCACTAGTTTTTCTTTTCCTGGAGTCTTGCTTAAAAAAAAAAAAAAGAAAAATTCTTAGAAATTGAGAGCTGGGAATATCTTTAGGGAACATCTATGCTAATCCCAACAACAGAACACTTGAGGATATTCAGACTTTCAATCTCATAATGCCTAGTGGACCTTTCCTTAAAAGTCACAATCATCCCAATCTCTTTTTACCACATGGAATAAAACAAACTCTTTACCATATTTATGGAGTCCAATACCCTAACTTGAATTTTTAAGAAAGGAATAATCAGAGAAAATAAGCTCTTTGGCAAAATTGAGGGCATGGAAGGAATTCAACTTCCCAGAAAGCAAAATGATAGCTGAAGCCATGGCAAATCCCAAACCACTCTGTTTGGCCTTGACCATCCTCCCTCAAAAAATCATCCAGACTTCTGCAACCTATACATTCATTGCAAGTTCAGCTTGCCAATGACCATATAAAAATGATAGTCTGCCTGATGTAGTCTGAACATAGTCTTAACTCAGGAGATCCATTCATTCAACAAATACATATGGAATATTGAGCATGTGCTGTGGCAGTTGTATTGGTGACAGATGTGATACGCTGGTAAGAGCTCCCCACAGCAGCACTGAAAGAAAGAAGATGGAAAGAAAGAAGACACATGTTGGAAGCAAAGTCAAAAGAACTTAGTGACTGACTGAGTGACCTCAAGGACGGGAGACAGATCATTGGCAATTCCCAGATTCAGGTCAGCAGAGTGGCACCCTTCATTCATAGAGATAAGGAAGACAGGGAAGGGAGGGCACAGGTTTGGGGGTGAGGACAGTGATGACTTGGGCATACTGCAAAGAAGAGGGCACTTAAGCCTTTTAGTACCTGGTTCAATGCACTGGGAGCTCCTCTTTTCAGTCATTTAATTAAGTGTCCACTTAAATCTTGGCCAGACACTATGATCATTTCTGGGGAAGACACACAGGAAAGCTGGTCTTGAGCACAGAGTCCCAAGGAGGCTATAGAGGGATCAATGCATAAGAACATGCCACAACACAACTACAATGTGAAACTCAATGGAGGTGAAGAGGAGAGAGCAACTAATTCTGCTTCACAGCGTTGGAGAAGACCTAGAGGGAGGTCACTTTGGGCTAAGTTTTGAAAGAGAAGGGACTGTTCTCCATGCTGAGAGAATAGGGAGAAGTGGATCCTTGGGAGAAGAAACAGACCCAACAGGAACAGAGAGGGCCGAAAGCATGGCAGATCTAGGGACGTCAAGGAACTCAGCCAATTGTGAGCCTGAGTGACGTCAGGTGAGATGAGGCGCTAGTGGAGAGAGACAGGGGTTGGAGGGTCTAGAATTAGATCATGAAAGCTCTTGAAAGGTTTTATTAGGCATCTGCATTTCATCTTCTAAGCAGAGGGACAAGGAGAATTTGAAAATGGGAAACTGGTATTACGTATTACATTCAGCCAAAATGTATTATATGTTCACTGTGCCAGATGCTTAGGCTATGATGGTAAACAAAACACATAAAAATACCAACTCACACGTGGAGGTAGGGTGAAGGGCAGACAACACTAAAACCAAATAAATTATAGAGTATGTCAGAAGATACTTGCTTTGGGGAAAAAAAAAATGAGTGGAATCCGGTAAAGGAGATCAAGAATACCTGGGGTAGAATGGAGGGGGAAGGGGGTGGCTTGAGAAGGTACATGATCAGAATGCAATTAGATTTGTTTCCTAGGATTATCATTGCAGCAGCAAAGGTAGCCGGACTCGGAGTGTGGGGAAATCCTTGACAGTGAGAACAATCAGAAGGCCACTGCAGTCATAGTAACTAGGATCCAAGCAGGGACATGACAGAAGGATAGGGAGAAAAGATGGGATTCAGCCAAGTGGGAGATTCAGCAGATTTAGTAACTTTCCGGATAGACAGGAGAAAGTACCAGGAAGCAAGAATGGCTAATATTTTTAGTTTACACGACTAGGTCAATGTGATGATTTTTACATGTTTTAAATAATTTAGGCTGCGCATGGTGGCTCACGCCTGTAATCCCAGCACTTTGGGAGGCTTAGGCAGGCAGATAACCTGAGTTTGGGAGTTCAAGAGCAGCCTGACTCACCAACATGGAGAAATCCTGTCTTTACTAAAAAAAAAAATACAAAATTAGTTCAGTGTGGTGGTGCATGCCTGTAATCCCAGCTACTCAGGAGGCTGAGGCAGGTGAATCGCTTGAACCCGGGAAGCGGAGGTTGTGGTGAGCCAAGATGACATCACTGCACCCCAGCCTACTCAACAGGAGCAAAACTCCATCTCAAAAAAAAAAAAAAAAAAAAAGAATTTGAAGATTAAGGAAGAAGCAGAATAGGATGGCAATTCAATAAGGACAAGAACTTTGCAGCCAGATAATGCAGTCTTTTTGCAAAGGCTTTTGAGGGGTTAGGACTTTATTTCCTGAGGTAATGAAGAACTATTGAGAGGAAATTTGCTGAGGTGGGAAGAAGAAACTTCATCCGGGGGTCAGTAGGCTGAGCTGCCAGAGCCAGGAGAAAGTGAAAGATGGAAGATGTCAGAAAAAGTTTGAGAAATGTATGAAACAGGGTTCTTAGGAAGAAGATGAAGTGGGATCTAAGTGCCCAGAAGTATAAGTGATCAGAAAATTTTATGCTGAGTGATTGAATGTTTGAACTGAGGGCTCCAATCGCAAACGGCATAGATCAGATGTGGGCCTCAGGCAGACTAATCTAGCAGCAATAGGTAAAATAACAGATTATTGGAGGCTGAAGGAGGAAGACCAAAGATTCAGAAGGTTTTAAGTACGGGTTGTAGAATGGCTGAGGAGAGTGGTAACAACACCGGTATGACAAGGAATAAAAAGAAATCAGATCAGGAAAGTAAATGGCCTGAGGAGCAACAGTGAATTTGAGCATTCCCCTTTTTAGATGGCATCAGCTGCTCCAGTTGGCACGCCTTCAACAATGTCAGCAGAGCCACACAGGTAGTTGTAATTGTGGGAAACCACAGCAAAGAGTTGTTGAGTCCAGGAGGGAAGCAAAGTCACCATAGATCAGAGGTTTGATTCTCACAAGGTCACTTTCTGTTTCTTACTCATGACTTTCCCCCTATTTCTTACATTGGTATACAGTCTTCTTGTTGCTTGTCTGGATTTTACAAGCCTATATTCCCAGTCTTGGTCTCCTGCCTTCAAACCTGTATCGGATACTTTTACTAGAAGCCTGTTCCTTGTAGGAACTGCCAGTGGCTCCCCACATCAAAAAGTAGGAAGCTCTGATTTCCTGTCTTGTCCTTCAGACAAGGCCAAGAATCACATATGCAAGGTTTTTCCTCCATGAAATAACCTATTTTTATATTAAAACAACCCGAGTTATTATTCTCAACCCGAGCAAGCTGCTCAGAATAATCTTTCAGTACTTCTGTATGTGTTGTAGCTAAAATGAAATACTGCCTGTAGAAGCAGGCTCACCGTGGGATCTCTGGATCCCAGAGGGCTTCAAGGGGACGGGTACCTGCATGTGGTTGGAAGATTTCCTATCATTCTTTGATTCTCAAAACAACCTAAAGGTGAAGTTTTTAAAGTATTCAGTTTGAGGATTCTCTGAGTTGAGTCAACTTAAAACATCTGCTAAAGGTTAAAGAGATTATGTACAGAATCGTTTTTTTAAAAAAAAAATCGAGATAGGAATTATTCAGGGTTGATACTAAGTTTGCTTCTCATAGTTGGCACTCAATACTGACTTATTAAATAGATAACTGGATAATTGCATTTGATTCAGTTCATTCACTCACATCTTTAGAAGCATGAAAATAAGTATCACTATTTGTATTTATTTTAAAAAAAAAGTGCCACAAGAACCAAAAGGCTGTTCCACAATCACATCTTTCAGAAATGGATACAAATTATTCTGAAATTGCCCCATTAAAATAATGATATGAAATTAGAAGTGCCTTTGAAAAACCCAGAGTGGCAAGGAACAGAGGGTATTATAAAGGTGTAATTATAACTCAACAGTTAAATAAATCCTTAGTAAGTATGAAATTCATGTTTAGCTCTTTAGTTCAATAGATTATTGAGCAGACTGGATCACAATAGATTTAGCTGATTTATATTTTAATCACCCCTATTACACTTTCCCCCAATTCATTTGATGATGGAGGCTAGCTTCACCATTAGATAATGATATTGGAAGGCTTAAATGTGAGGAAGGCTCGAGTGTGCCCACTTGTGAAGATAGTTTGAAAAGGAAGGGAAGGCAAGGCACGGTGGCTCATGCCTGTAATCCCAGCACTTCGGGAGGCCAAGGCAGGTGGATCACTTGAGGTCAGGAGTTCAAGACCAGCTGGCCAACATAATGACACTCCATCTCCACTACAAGTACAAAAATTAGC